ACTTTCCGCCGCCGCCCGCGGGCTCCCTAAACATGAAGGTCCGGGCGGGCCGTTGTGGCGTGAGTCATCGCCGCGCCCTGGTGGGTGACAAGAGGGGCTTGTGGGCCAGCCCGACCCGGAGGGGCCCGCGAGTCGCGGTTCCGGCGCCACCCGCAGACGGCCGATGTGGGTCGTTCCTTTCAAATAACCCGACCTGCCTTCCGCCTTCCCCTCTCTAGCGAGTCGTCCTCCACGCCAGGCAATGGGACCACACCCGAGGAGTGCCCGGCGCTGGCCGACAGCCCCACCACACTCACCGAGGCCCTGCAGAGGATCCACCCCATCCCCGCCGACTCCTGGAGGAACCTCATCGAGCAGATAGGTGGGTGCCCGGCGTTCGGGGTCCCAGGTGGATGGACTCGGGGTCCCCTGCTCGCGGTGTAGCGCTGCATTGAGTGTGATCTGACGTGGGTAGGAAGGCCTTTGACATACTTGATTCTAAATGGTTTCATCGACTCAGATGCCACATGTTCGTGTTTAACAAGTGGGTGCCCAGGCTTCGCTCTCCCCAAGGGTCTGTTGCCCCGTCTCCTTGGTGGAGGGCTCCTCGTATCCCTGGCCCCTTCTGCTAGACTGGACCAGGCACGAGGAAGGGAGAGCCCTGGGGGTTGGAAGCGAGGCTGCGCTGCGGGCTAGAGTTGGAGCAAAGAGGGAGAGAGACCGGGGGCGGCGGGGCATGGTGTTCTGTTCTGGAGAGGGGAGGCAGAGGAGAGAGAAAGCAGGACGCCAGGTTGGGAAGAGAAGCATGGTGTCACCAGCCCCTCCAGAAACGGGGCTGGAGGTGTGGGCACAAAGGGCCCAGGAAGGCACAGATGGGAACCAAGCCTCCAGGGGCAGTCTCTACATGGTATCGATTGGGGGCAGGGATTCTCCAGCCTGCTTTGTCAGGCATCCCTTTGAACTTGCTCGTGGGGGGCAAATGTCTGCTGCCCCCCCCTCCCACTAAGCCTCTGCTGGCACTGTATCCAGCCCCCACAAAGCCTCAGCCAAAGCTGCCAATACAAAAAAAACTGAGCGAGGCAGCACCCAGAAAAACCCAGCACTGCAATTACGAAAAGAAATGACTAGAGACATCAAACCAGTTCTTATAAGAGGCACCAGGGAATGGATAAAGTGGGTCCCATATTCCTGAAAATGGTGCCAACTGCTTAGAAAAGCTTTCAGCTCTTCAATGTTGTTACACACAGTCTTCCTGCCTTAAGTCACAATTCTAGGTCTGGAAATTTCTCCCTTAAACAAAAATAACTAAATAATATCATCCTTGACCTTCAGTCCCAAACACCAGGCCATATCTGTGGCATCACCCAGCATGTAAGTGTGGCTTCTGTTGTCACAGAAGACGCTGAGCTCTGGGGTCTTTGGGGTGGGCCCACTGTTCCCTAGCAACGTGTTTTTAAAAACCTGAACGCATAGAGGAGTGGAGCCTCTTGCAAAGGTGAGGGGGTGGTAGGCATACTGTGCGCTGTTAGGGGGGCTGCCTTCAAGGACCGTGTTCCAGCTGGGGGACCCCGCCTTCAGGCTGGAGGTGGTGCTACTGGCGGTGGGCTTTCCCTTTGATTGTTAGCGATCTGAAACTGAAGGGTGATCTGAAACTGCAGCCCACCATCAGGAACCGGTCTTTGAAACAAGACTCCTGAAACCTCTTCCTCCCAACTCCCATGGTCTTACTGTCCTCCATCAAAAACTCACCGCTGTAGAGGCTTTTCCGGTTTATAGACACCCTGTAGAGGATTTCCGAGGCTGTAAATCTTTACGAAAGCAGAAAGCTTCATCTTTTTTCTCCCTTGGAGCAGCTAGTGGGTTTGAACTGCCAACATTGTGGTTAGCAGTACAGTGCTTATTCCACAGTGCTAGCAGCACGCTACTGTCCTCCGTTGTGAAGTGCCATCAAGTCAGTTCTGACTCATAGGGACCCTGTGTCAAGTTTCTGAGGAGCAGCTTGTGGATTTGAACCGCTGACCTTTCGGTTAGCAGCCCAGTGCTTATCCTACAGTACCACCAAGACTCCATCATCCTCTGTAGGGAAAGGAGAACCCTGCCTTGTCCAACTCTGGAAGCTTCCATTGACTTTGCTGCCACAGATTCTAATTCGGCTGAGATGATGCATCATGGTTCAAATGAGAAAGGCATTTGGGCTAGGGGACAGAAGAGTCCCATGATCCCTCTCACAGGCCTGCCTTCCTCTGGTTCGGTGTTAGAGGCATGTGGGCACTGGACACCTACCTGGAGACCAAGGGGCCTGTTGAGCCAGGTGCTTTGGGTCTTTAGTTGAAGTTGGGCTACAAGGTTCAGGTAGCTGCTCATCTTGGGCTGTAGTTTCTAGTTTCCAACATTCCAAGTCTTTCTCCCACCCCACCCCCACCCCCACCAGAGTCTCTGAGTTTCATAGGGACAGAACTGAAGGCTTCAGTGTCGAGTGACATCACCCGATTCATGCCATGGGCTTCATTGTGACTTGATAGTTAACTTGAGGTCTGCACATAGTAGATGCCCACTTTCAGCTCAAGCAGTGAGGTGAGTTCTCTGCCAGTTGTAAGGAAAGGGTTGAAGGTTTCTAAGGTGTCATTGTTGTTGTTGATAAGGGCCGTTGAGTCAGTTCCGACTCATGGTGACCCTGTATAGAGTTTCTGAGAAGTAGCTGGTGAGTTTGAACCTCTGCCTTTACAATTCAAGCCTCCCTTGTGGTATAGTGCTTACCTACAGCGCCACACCAGGGCTCCACCATGTTGCTAGTAGGTAGGCAAGTGGGATGAGTTAGTGGGCATTTTGTAGACCACTTTGCTGGAGCTTTCGGATGTGGTGTGCAGTCACCCAAGTTGACTGTGGCCCTTGGAGGCCATCCCTTCCATCTGGTCGATTTTGACTCACGGCGGCCCCAGCATGTCAGAGGAGAACTGTGTTCCTTGAGAGTTTTCAATCGCTGGTTTTTTGAAAGTAGATCCTTTCTCCAAGGCACCTTTGAGTGGGGACCACCCTGAGACTCCTCAGGAGTTCATACTGCTGTCTACTTGATTCCAACTCACAGGTGCCCTAAAGGGTAGAGTAGACCTAACCCACAGGGTTTCCAAAGCTATAAATCTTTACCGAAGCAGACTGTCTCTTCTTGCTCCCTCTGAGTGGCTAGTGGGTTTGAACCACCAACAGTTCTGTTAGCATCCAGCACTTAACAACTGTGCCACCAGGGCCTTCCTATTCAGTAGACCCACTGCCCTCTAATTGATTCCAAATCTTAGCAACCCTGGAGGACAGAGTAGAACTGCCCCAGAGAGTTTCCAAGACTTAAATCTTTATGGGTTCAGACTGCCTCATCTTTCAGCCATGGCAGATGGGTTTAAGCCACTGACTTTTTGATTAACAGCCAAGCGCTTAACGCTGCACCATGCAGAGACTAGAGAGGTGTCTTACTGGTTTGGGGTTTTGCCAGGGGCACCAGTAGAGGGGTACAGGGGTTGGCATCAAAATATTGTCTATAAAGTTTTTGTGCGGTGTTCAGCAGAAATTTTACTATTTTTAATAAAAAATATCCAGAACAGACTCAACAGCACTTAACAATAACAACTTAGAGTTACAAAAACATTTTACATAAGCCTAGTGTACATGCATCAGTATACCTGCAGGATTAAAACACTATGATACTTTACTTTTCTAACCTTCTAATGGCCTGGTGTGGCACTGTGGGACAAAGTGGGACAGGACAGCAAGGTTGGCTTGACCCACTAGGTCAGGAGTTCAAACTCAGCAGCCGCTCCTCAGAAAGCATCTCTAGGAATCAGAAGTGACTCCATAGCTCTTTACAACAGCAGCAGTGCGCTCTGGTCACAGCTAAAGTTATTATCCAATTTCCAGGATGCTTCCAGTCACATGGTCTCATCTGCATGTGCTATTAGTTGCGGCTGGTATTTTTATAGTCACTGGTCTTGTTCAGTTTTCTGGCAGTTTTGCCACAATGCTGTGGTAATTCGCATTTGTGAACCTATACCAATAACTTTTTTTTCTGAGAATGAAATAATAGTTAAAAGGAAAAGAAGGAGAAAATTCAAAACAGGCTTCCGCTCAGTGACTAATACTAATTTTGGAACTAACACTGTTATAATTCAATGTAGAAAGATTTTACAAAAACAATTTTGTTGTTACTAAGTGTCGTTGAGTCGGTTCCAACCCATAGCGACCCTGTCTAGGATTTCCCAGGAGCGACTGGTGAGCTTGAATGGCCAACCGTGCAGGTGAAAACAACTTTGCAGTCCAGTGCATTAATCCCCAGTGCCACACCAGGACTCCACTCCAATTCCTCTACTTTAAGAAACACTGCACTTGAGCAATTAAAGGAGCTCTGGTAGCGTAGTGGTTACGAATCGGGCTGCGAACCTTAAGGTCAGTGGTTCGAAACTACCAGCCGCTCCGTGGGAGAAAGATGAGGCTTTCTACTCCCGTAAAGATTTACACCCTCGGAAACCCTGTACAGGGTCGCTGTGGGTCGGAACTGACTCGACGGCACTTAACAACAACAACAGCAACACTTGAGCAATTTTCAACTCCATTTGTCATACAGTATCCTAGGATTAAAGTTGATAATAAACTACCAAGATTCTGTGCGGTCTGGCATGAGAGGAGGTCCGTGGAGGGGGCAGTGACTCTGACACCACTGGGTTTTGTCTGTGTGCTGCTGTTCTTGTTGTGGGCACCGAACATGGTGCTTGGCACATGGACTGTGCTCACTAAATATTGAATTCTGAATTTCCTGCCCTTTGGGAAGCTTCTGTTGGAAAAATCCAAGGAGTTATTCTCTCTGAAAAGTGGGATTTGAAATTATTCCAGAGGGTTTGGCAAGAGGAGTTAGGGGGTTCCCTTCCTTTTGAATGGTATGTTGTCGTTAAGTGCCGATGAGTCAGTTCTGACCCGTGGCGACCCTGTATAGGGTTTCCGAGGCGTAGCTGGTGACTTTGAACCCCAACCTTGCAGTTCAAACGGCTTTGCAGTCTGGCGCACTAACCCACAGCGCCACACCCGGACTCCTTTGAAAGGTACAGGTCATGTTAATGAGGAGAGATGGGAACTGAGTCAGTGTGTGGGTATCATACCGAGTATAAGCTTCAAGCTGTCCTGTGTTCCAGGTAAAGTCGGTTTTCATCTAACGTTGTGCTTACTGAATGTCCAAAATATGAAATAATGGTACATTGAGTACAGAAATGTAATCAGATAATATAACATCCAGCGCCTACGGTAGAACGACACGGCTTTTATTTCAATCTGAGTTTTAAGGGAAATAATCATAAATTGACTCTAAAACCTGGTTATACAGTGTCAAAGAACTCTTTGTAGTCACAGTAACTTCAGGAAAGCTGCTGTTTAAACTTAGGCCCTAAGCACCTCTGAACAAAGTAAGTATGAAGTGTTTGTTTTTTAAGTTCTAAAATGACTCGTACTGAGTCTTTGGCTGCACGTAAACACTCTCCAACAAGCAGGGACTCTATAACAGTTGTTGTTTTGAAGTGCCATCAAGTCGGTTCCAACCTGTAGCGACCCTGTATAGGGTTTCCGAGGAGCAGCCAGTGAGCTTGAACCACTGACCTTGCAGTTCAAACGACTTTGCAGTCTGGCGCATTAACCCACAGCACTACACCAGGACTCCCTATAAACAGTTGTTGTTGTTGTTGTTATGTGCCGGGAAGTCAGTTCCAACTCATAGCGACCCTGTACAGGGTTTCCAAGGCTGTAAATCTTTACGGAAGCAGAGAGCCTCATCTTTCTCCCATGGAACAGCTGGTAGTTTCGAACTGCTGACCTTTCGGTTCACAGCCTGATTCGTAACCACTATGCTACCAGAGTAGAAGTGTTCTATTTCAGCGAATGTGTCCAGAGGTGAGGGCTTCTGGAGTCAGTTTGTTTAGACAAATAACGGCCCAGCTGCTTTTCCTCTGCTGTTCTCAGCATTTAAGCCTCATGTCACAAGGTGGCTGCCACAGCTCCAGGCAGCACATCCTCAAACATCCATTTGTGAAAGCTGGAAGGGTCATTTATCTTCGCATGTGTATCAGGGAAGGACATTCTTGTTGAGAAGCCCTTAGACAGCGTCCTTGTACTCTCCTTGACCAAGTAGTGTCCCATGCCCATGGTTAAACCCACCACAGGCCAGTAGGTGGAAGAGACCTATGGAGGGTTTTGATCAGTCAGCATTTGTCCACTTCCCTGAGCACAGGATGGGTCAAGACCCAAACAAAACCCCTGCTTCCAACTGGAAAGGAGTTTCAGGGGGCAGGCGGTAGGCAGCCGGCAGTGTCTGCCACAGTGTGAATTCAGAAATATTATTTTCAACCCAGCTACCCACAGTGCTGATATTTTTGTCCTCTTCGCAGCGTATGTATCACAGCAAAATGTTCAAGATAGTATTTACCTATGGTTTGCCAACTGTAGCAGACACAAGACATGTTTTTGAACCTTCATAAGCGATACCAAATTGTGAACCTTGGAAATCGCATTCCTAAAAGGTATTCAAAAATTTCACACATAGTTGAGTACCTACTATGTAGGAGGCACTGTGCTAAGCCTTGAAAAAATAAATGCAAGTCAATTCATGGAAACCTGGTTCCTTTAAACCTCTGTAAACACACCTGATGCCGGCAACAATAGTTAACATCCTGTGTGTAGGCAGTTGGCATCTGAACTTGAAATAGTTTCTGATGTAGAGGGTACCCCCTCTGGCTTCATAGATCTTTGTCCTGATGCATTCAGAAAAGACTTCAATTTTCTTTTTAATTCCTTTGTTGTGTAGTCAGCTAGGTTGTAACATTGTAAAAGCAGCTCCATTTCTGGAAGTAATTGCTGTATGTACCTTAGTGTGCGGGCTTTATGATGTAGATCGACTATGAAATGCGGGAAGCCTAGTAACTTGACTCACGAAGCCAGTTGATTAAATAGCCATTTGTGAATATAATTTATCCAGCCCCATTGCAGGATTCTCTCTCTTTTCCTTTTCTTTCATGTCGGTAGATAGATTTCACAGTTACATAAGGAAGGAAAACTAACTGACGATTTTACCATGTGGTAGGACCAGGGGCTTCCCCAGTAGTACTATATTGCTTCAAGTGATTAGTAATACTCTAGAAAAAGCAGCGTCTTTGTTTTATAAGTAAATGGATCAAGGGAGCCCGGCCCCTCTCCAGGGTGTGAGGTCAGTAGGTCCCACTGCCTGCAATACCTTGCTGCTTTGTCCCTCAGTACACCTCAATCTGAACTTCTTCAAAACCAAGCCCAGGGGCCACCAGACCGTGTTAGCAGGCTGGTCACTGGGCATTATTCGTGATTTATTGTGGTTGTTATCTGCCACTGAGACGGCCCCTGATTCATGGTGACCCTATGCACCGTGGATTGAAACGGTGCCCATTCCTACACCATCCACGTGATCCATAGTTTTTCATTGGCTGGTTTTCACAAGTAAATCTCCAGGCCTCTCTTCATAGTCCCTTTCAGTATGGAGGGTTTGCTGAACCTGTTCAGCATCAAAGCAAATCATAGCCACACTCAAGCCTCAACTGTCAGAGGGGCTGGTGACTGAGCATGGATGGAACCCGGGTCTCCAAATGGAAGCCCCCGTGGCCCTTTGTCCATGACTTAACCCTCTCTGTGCCCAGGACCCATCTTCTGCCTCAGGAATGCCCCCTAAATCGGGGGTGCTTTGCTCCACCCCCTCTACCATTGCCCCCCTGGGAACTGCCACAGCCTCTTTTGGGGGTGTGCGTCTGCTTGTCCCCACTTCGCAGGTCATGGGTCTCTTCAGTGTAGGCCCCAGCGGCTTCCTTGAGGGGCCCTAGGGCCTCCTTCCTGTGGCTTGGCAGGCAGGTCCCTTCATGTTTGCCCCCCTTCTCCCAGGCTTGGGTCTGACAGACGCCCCCATGACTCCCCACGCCGTGCTTCTGGGCTTGGAGCCCCCTCCCCTTGGCACTCGATACCTGCATGGTCTCACTATCTCCACAGCTGGGAGCCCAAAGATACTTTCCCTAAGGAGTCCCTAGATTTGTAGGGTTCATCTGTACTCCTGATCCCCTTTGAGACTTGGGATGTGTTGATTCCAAGTAAAACAGGTTGGGGACATAAGCCTGAAAACCGTGAAAGTTCAACAAGGAACTTTTTCCTTTTGAATCATAAAGTTGATGAACTAAGTATGAAATAGTGACTTTTTCTTCAAAGTGAGATTTTTGTGGTACTATGGGTTAATGCAAGGAGCTCTGGTAGCGTAGTGGTTACGAATAGGGCTGCGAGCTGCAAGGTCAGCAGTTCGAAACTACCAGCTGTTCTGTGGGAGAAAGATGAGGATTTCTGCTCCTGTAAAGATTTACAGCCCCGGAAACCCTGTACAGGGTCGCTATGGGTCGGAACCGACTCCACGGTACTTAACAACAACAACAACAACATGGGTTAATGCACTGGACTGCAAAGTCAGTTTGTAACTGCAAGGTCGACAGTTCAAGCTCAATGGCTGCTCCTTAGAAACCCTGTACAGGGTCACTGTGAGTCAGAACCTACTTGATGCCACTAAACAACCTGAGTTTCATGACATCCGTTCAGGCAGCGTCTGCACATACATAATCTGTCATCCCAACCCCAGTTTTAATACAAAACCTATTAGAAACTTGAGATACGTATGATAGTCTCAGTAACAAATGGGTATTTGTGACATAAATTAAAACATTATTATGATTGCTATATTATTAAAGATAGTTTAGTGTGTCCAGAAGTGTTTAATATTTCTTATACAAAGAAGTCCTGCAAGATAATGTGCTGGACCCAAAGGTCAGTTTGAACCACAAGGTCAGCAGTTCAAACTCACCAGCTGCTCCTCAGAAACCCTATACAAGGTTGTGATGAGTTGGAATCGACTAGATGGCACTTAACCACAGCAACATATATACTAAGACAAACATTGGATTAACTGATGTTACCTACAAACCATAACCTAACTGTTCCAACTTAAATATCAGTTCAATTTAAAGACAGATTTAGAAACGGAACTCATTCATAATCTGGATTCTGCCTGTATGTAACATGATATTCGCACAATGTCCAAATCACATAGCATCCTATATCACAGGTCTTATCATGGATGTTCGCTGTGGGTTAATGTGTCAGACTACAAAGCCATTTGAATTGCAAGGGCCGCGGTTCAAGCTCACTAGGTGCTCCTTGGAAACCCTACACAGGGACACTTATGGGTCGGAATCGACTCGACAGTACTTAACAACAACAACATGGATGATCAGCAACTCAGGACTGACTGCAATCCCATTCTGCAAATGGGGAAGGAAAACAAAAACCCTCAACCTATTCAATCGTTTAATGCTGTGGAAACCTGCGTGGTGAGATGCTGAGATACAACTGGGACATTTCCATCAACTTGTGCATAGTTTTTACACAAGGTCTAGATTCTCGTTGTTTGCCAGGGAAGTATGTGTGGGGGTAACATATATTTGTGCTGTATGCTATTGGATTTTAATGTATTTGGGGTGTTTCTTTGTTATTTGTTGTGACTCTTAATCCAGACAGTGAAGATGGTGGCAGTTCTGGCCTTTTCTGGGTAGCAGAGCTTTGCTGGGACATGGACAGTCCAACCTTCTTTGTCTATCCCTGGGCAGAACGTTTGCCCTTCATAGGGATACGAGCGATTTGGCTTCGTAATTCAGAACTATCTTCCTCTAAAATAATTTTGTTCTCTTTATTGCAACTCTGTGTGGTTTCAGGGCTCCTATATCAGGAATACCGAGATAAATCAACTCTCCAAGAGATCGAAACCAGGAGACAACAGGATGCCGAAATACAGGCAGGAGATGATGGGTCCCCGGCCAGCGAAGAGGCCCCCGAGGAGGAAGAGGACGAGGAGGAGGAGGAGGAAGAGGAGGACGACGAGGAGGAGGAGCTGGCCAGCCCGCCCGAGAGGAAGGCTCTGCCCCAGATCTGCCTGCTCAGTAACCCCCACTCGAGGTTCAACCTCTGGCAGGACCTTCCAGAGATCCGGAGCAGCGGGGTGCTGGAGATTCTGCAGCCTGATGAAGTCAAGCTTCAGGAGGTAGGCGCTATGTGGGCAGGGTGTCTGTCAGCATGGCCAGGCCCTGTCTCAAGGGGCATGAGGCGAGGCTGCCTCTGCACGGGTGTGTGTGTTGCTGAGTTCCTGGAGTGATCACCAGCCCCTCTAGTCCAGGATGTCCTGTCTACTCAGAACCTGCAGAAATTCCTCTTACTTCCATTAAACCCAAACCCTCTGATGCTGAATCGATTCTGACTCAGCGCCACTACAGAGCAAGTAGAACTACCCCGCAGGGTTCCCAAGGTTGTAATCTGTATCAAATCGGGCGTGGCGTTGTAAGAGAAGCGCTGTGTGGCTGACTCCTTCGTTCAAACCCACTGGCCACTCCTTGAAAACCCAATGAGTCAGAACTGTCTTTTCGATGGCACTTAACTACAACAACCACCACCTTTACAAAGGGAGACAGCCACATCTTTCTCCCGTGGTGCACTTACAGGTTCAAATTGTCGACCTTTTCGTTAACATCCAAGCATTTAACTATTGTGCCACCGCCACAGAAGAAGCAAACGAAAAGAAACAAGCAAACCAAATCCCTGGCTGTCAGATCAATCCTAGAGGACAGAGTGGAACTGCTGCACGGGGTCTTTACAGAAACAGACAGACACATCATTTTCCTGAGGAGCAGCCAGTGGGTTTGAAACATCAACCTTGTGGTTAACACCCAAGCACTTAAGTGACTGCGTCATCTTACATTATTCCATGTGGTTGTTAAGTGCCATCGAGTTGCTTTTGACTCATGATGACCCTGTCTAGGGTTTCCAAGAAGTGGCTGGTGCCTTTGAACTGCCGACCTTGCAGTTCAAACCAACCTTGCAGTCCCGTGCATGGATTATCCTGCAGCATTGCCACACCAGGGCTCAGCCCAGTTACCAGCTAGGGTAGGCAGCTCAACCCCAATAGTGTGTGTTGGCCACATTGCCGTTTCATTAGACTGCATTGTTAAATGTCCATAACTGTTGTTGGGTGTCTGCATTGCACATGTGAACCCTTAGGGGTTGGGTGATGTCAAGCTCACTGTGAACTCACTCGCAAATGTGATTTATGGAAGTCAGCCGTAGCGTCCTTTACTCGTAGTCTAATCCCACAATTTTACTTCATAGTCACTTGAGATCTAGATGAGTGGGGTCGCTAAAAAAAAAATCCCCCAGCATGCCTCACCCCTTCTAAGAAGGATGCTGAAGTCTAGGGTCTGCCCTGTCTCTTGTCCCTTCATGTGATGGCTCGGGGAGATCTTGAATGACCATCAACTAGGATGATACCAACTCACAGGGTTGCCTGACGATTTCTGGTTTACTGGCAGGAAATAATAATCCATTTAAAACACAATGTAACAATCCAGAATTAAATTGCAGTGTAAGCGACAATGTTAAGTGTTCCTTTTAGTTCATCAACATAGACGTCAGCAGTAGAGAGAAAGTTCCATGTTTGACAAAGAGACGCAAACGCATAGTGAGCTTAAGGAGAGAGGTGGTTCAAGGAAAGCATGAGACGCAAGTGTGTGTTGATTTTGAAATGTTTAAAAGCATTCAGAGAAGAAAATGACGTGGTGGATTTTTTAAGCACTCGGTCAATCCAAAAGATCATCTGTATCCGCTCTCACCCGGCTCCCTCACACTCACGAGCTTCTTCAAACCCATGTTTGTACGGTTGAGCTCCAAATGTGCCTTGCTTTAACCTCCTTTCCTTTACTGCTACGTAAAGGGGCCCTGGTTGTGCCGTGGTTAAGTGCTTGGCTGCTAATTGAAAGGTTAGGGGTTCAGCCCCACCAGCTGCTCTGTGGAAGAAAGATGAGGCTGTCTGCTTGCGTAAAGGCGATGGCTTTGGGAACCCTACAAGGCTGTGTTCTGGTCTGTTCGATAGAGTAATCAGAATCAACTCAACAGAAACAGACTTGGTTTGGGGTCTGGGTTTAGTCTTCCTACCCTAGACTACTCATTAGAAATATCTGCTCTTCTGTGTTTAAATGTAAACATTGTCAACTCTGTGCACAGTTTTTGTGAATGGTTCCTGACCAGGGCCATTTTAGTCAGACACATATCTTACCACGGATTTGCTGCTGTTGTCTTTATTGATAGTTGAGTGGCCTCCAAGCTCTAGGGCTCCGTGTACAGCAGAGCAAACCCTTGCCCGGTCCAGCACCATCGCCACGATTGTTGGCAGATTTGAGTCCATCAGAAAATCTTCTGTTGTGACCCACAGGATTCCACTGACTCATCTTCTAAAGTCGATTACCAGGCCCTTCGTCCTAGTCTCTGTTAGTCTGGAAATGCCATTGCCACCTGTCCACCGTGGGCGGCTCTGTTGCCATGGCTTCCAACATCCTAGCAACACGCCAAACTGACAAATGGAGGTGGATTTGCTAAGAGGGAAGGGTTGATGGAACTGGACTTCTAAAGGGACACTCAGACTAATCGGAGTGCTGCCCAATAAAATCAGAACAAACTTTATTTAACTGCTTGTCATCCTTCGTAGCCTGTGGTCAGTGATTTACAACTGTTTACATCAAGAGTTTTCCTATGAAACTCCTGATGGGAGTGATACCCTGCCATCGGTACTTTCTCCTGGCTTTGCACTGCACTACTCGTGAGGAGTCCTGGGGCGGCGCTGTGGGTTCATGCGCTGGACTGCAAGGTCGTTTGAACCGCAACGTCGGTGGTTCAAGCTCACCAACCACTCCTTGGAAACTCTATACAAGGTCTCTATGGGTCAGAACTGACTCGATGGTGCTTAACAACCACAACAACTCGTGAGGCGACATAAAGAGGCCATTCATACATGCAGAAGTGACACTGCACATTCATGAAGGTCGATGGAGAGGGCCTGAAAAGCTAGCAGGCTCTGCCCACTGAAAACCAGTAACACTGTGGAAGGTGCCAGAGGACATGAGGACATTTCCCTACCTTTAGCCACTTCACATACCTCAGAGACCCAGAGATCATCTTATAGAAAGGATCGTAGAATACTATTGGAGGCAGAGGGCTTTTGCATGCATTAGTATCAACACGGGGGCTGCTTTTCAAGTCCTCAGAATAAGGAAAAGAAGTCAGTATCTTGGAAAACCTAGAGGAAGAGCATGCCTGGGAAAATTACACGCTGTAGGATCCAGAAGAAAGCTTTTGTAAGCGGTTTGTCACCTCGTCAAATATATGAGGGTAAGCAATGAGAAGGAACCCTGGTGACACAACACTTAAGCGCTTTGCCACTGATCAGAAGGTTGGTACTTTAAACCTATCCAGAGGTTCCCTGAGAGACAAACATGGTGGTCTGCCCCTGTAAAGATTACAGCCGAGAAAACCCTGTGGGTCAGAGATCAACTCAATGGCCCCTGACAACCACAAACTAAGCCATAAAGACAGGACAGCATGTTGAAGAGGCTAAGTGGAGGTGTCGTAAACACAGGAGGATTTCAGAGAAACTAAACATCTAGTATCAGAATTAAAAATCCACATTGGAATAATGAAGAGCAGAACTTCCGATCAGTACCATGGAAGACAAATTTGAGAAGTTCTGTAAAAATTCAGCGGAAAAGGACAAGGAAGTGGGAACAGCCTGGACACAGTATCTATAGATAAGGAGTTGTTGTTGTTGTTGTTGTTAAGTGCCGTCGACACAGTATCTATAGATAAGGAGTTGTTGTTGTTGTTAAGTGCCGTCGACACAGTATCTATAGATAAGGAGTTGTTGTTGTTAAGTGCCATCGACACGGTATCTATAGATAAGGAGTAGATCCCACTTAATTATCATTGGTACTTCTGAAGACTAAATTACGCAGGAAAGTCACAGAGACTAAAAGGGGAAACATCCTGGAATTGTCAAAAATACAGACAAAGCTAAAAGCACAGAAAGAAGGGCCCATATAATAAGTTGTTGTTGTTGTTATGTGCCGTGGAGTCGGAACCGACTCATAGCGACCCTGTACAGGGTTTCCGAGGGTGTAAATCTTTACGGGAGTAGAAAGCCTCATCTTTCTCCCGTGGAGCAGCTGGTAGTTTCGAACTGCTGACCTTGCGGTTCACAGCCCGAGTCGTAACCACTACGCTACCAGAGCTCCTTATATAATAAGTAAGCAGTATGAAAACACAGAAATACAAATACCATTACATACGATGGCAGGGTCAACAAACATTTCTGTGATTATCATCAGTATAAACTGCTTAAGCTTCTCTATTGTTGTTGTTGTTGAGTGCTGTGGAGTCAGTTCCAATGCATAGCGACCCTGTATAGGGTTTCTGAGAAGCAGGTGGTGGGTTTGAACTACCAACCTTGCGATTCAAATGACCTTGAGGTGTGGCGTTTCTACTATAGTGTTAAAACCCCAAACCCGCTATATTAACAGGCAGAAGAAAATTCAGGGCAAGGAAAACTATCATAGGAAACAAAAAAGTACTTTTGCGTTGTAAAAGGTATTCTTTACGTTGATAAAGGCATCACTTAATTCTTAAATATTTTGAAATTAAATAATTTAACTTAAATGTTTACTTTTTTTTTTTTTAACGAACTACATTCTCATTGTGGGGAGAAACCAAAATGCAAACACAGCCTCTGTGTGCATCCTGAGATTGTTGTTGTTGAGAAGTGTCATTAAGTTGGTTCGAACTCATAGCGACCCTGTATAGGGTTTCCAAGGAGCGGCTGGTGGCTTTGAACTTCCGACCTTGCAGTTCAAAATGACTTTGTGGTCCAGCGCATTATCCTGCAGCGCCACACCAGGACTCATCCTGAGATTAGGGGAATCCTTTATCTCTTTGTTAAAGTGCAGCCACAATATAGTTTAGATGCATAGGAAAACGTTAAGGTCAGAATCCTTGTAAATTTCTACCATCTTTTCTCCTGTCGTTGATTCTTGTTTTATAGCTTCACCTCATTCAACAGCATCTTGCTCTTGGTATTCTTTTTTTTTAGCAACATGCCTTTTCTAAACTCTTTAGAGCATTCAGTTTAGTTTTTAAAGTTTTTCTGGTGAATCGAGTGAAGGTTTACAG